ATAATCTGAGGGCTAGGATGAAAGAGACGTTACTGGGGCCTGCTCGAGGCAATCGACGAATAACAGGATGATGAAATGAAAAAAAAAAGAAATGAAATTTTCTCATACATGGATGGACATGGACAATATCATGCTGAGTGAAATTAGGAAAAGGGAGAAGGACAAAAGAATGCTTGCACTCATTTGCAGGATATATTAAAAAGTAAACGTAGTACATGAATAATATGCAAAGACAGTAGAAACCAGGGTCTGGAGAACTGGTTCATGGTAGGAAGCATGCCACCAGGGGGGAAGGGAATTGCAGTTTTGAGAGAGAAAGGATCACTCTGACAATAATAGTGGAAAAAGATGACACAAAGTGAGTGCTGAAAGGAGGTAAAGTGATATGCTTATACTTTCAGTAATAGCACTGAAAACCATAATGCCTAATAGGAAAATGGAGGGGACAGAAAAGTGGGGAGGAGAGAGAGAGAGAGAGAGAGAGAGAGAGAGAGAGAGAGAGAGAGAGAGAGAGAAGAGGTGTCTGCCTGCCATGGAGGCAGGCTGGTGATGGGGGAGTAGGAGAGGAGGAGGAACAAAACTAGTCAATAATATGAATTCAGCTTTTTGAAAGTGGAGGGCTCTGCATATGTCCATTAATATTGTTTCCCGCCTACTACCTAATTTAGGTATTATATTTTTACTGACACTCTGTCTTATTGATAAATATAATTGCAAAAGTATATTGTTGAAATATCCTATTATTCTGTTTCATCAATGTCTTTCTTTATGTCCACTCGCAGAACCTTCATAAACTTTACTGCCCCTTATTTTGTGTGTAGATTTGAATAAGTTTTAGTACTTTTTGATCTACTTTGTTCATCCCTTTTTTATTTTTTGTGTTATTTTCTCACTCTTTTATCTCTGATCCATGTCTTGGATTCTGGTTTTAGTATGGTATTTTTTTAAGATACAAAAGTTCTTATATATTCTGATATATAAGACAAGAAGGCATCAATCACATCACGCCGTTTTTGACACTGGAGAAAAATTTTTCCTCGGAACATGAGATAAAAGAGGCGTCGGGGGTGTCAGTGTCCTTGTCAACACGAATTTGGCCATGAGCATTGATTCATTCGAATGCCTAACAACCTGAATTGGACGTTTACACTCGAATAGATGTAGCTCACTGCTGGCAGTTTCTATCTTCGTTGTCTATGCACCAACATCCAATTATGATGAAGGAGAAATTGAGAAGTTCTACTGGAGCAAGAAGTTCTATAAAGAAGACCACACCTTCTACAAAATCATTGTCAGTTATTTTAATGCCAAGATAGGACCGAGAAGATCAGCCAAAGAACTCCACATCGGAACCCATGACCTAGAATGGAACGAACAGCGTGAGAGACTGTCTGAGTTCATCATGTCGACCAAGACCATCCATAGTAACTCAAGATTCCAGAAGGCCGAATCTAAACGTTGGACATGGGAGTCTCCTGGTGGACGATTCCACAACAAAATAGACTACATCATATTCAATCGACGGTTTTGCCTGACAATGTCGCTGTTGTCCCAAAATTCCAAATGGGATTGAACCACCATCTCCTTCGTGCAAAATTCTACTTCACAGAGCGGGGAGAAAGGGAGGCAAAGTTGAAGAAGAGAACTCCCAGAACGATCACCAACTGGGAGCTCTTTGGCACTATTGCTGCAACAGGGGAAGATGCCATTGTTGACAACATTGATGAGGAATACAATTGACTGGTTCAGCACCTCCATGATTGTGCGAGGAACGCCAAGAGAGAGCCACAAAAAAACACCTGTTTTCAAAAACTCTTGAGTTTATTCGCCAACGTGGTTTGGCGCATGCCTCAGGCAACCGCAAGCGAATGTCTGAGCTTCCAAAGCAGTGCAGAGATGCGATCAAGGAAGACCTCAGAGAGAGAAGAGCAGAAGAACTGGTAGATGCAGCAGAAGCCGGGAAAAGTATTCCTAATGCCCGCCAGTCCTTCGCCAACTACAAGACCAAGATGACTGCCCTCCGACGTCCTGATGGATCTATCACATGTTCCAGAATGGCAATGGAGAAGATTATCCAGGACTTCTACTCAAATCTCTTCAATAGCCATGTCCACCTGCCGACATACCAAATTCCACAGGATGGATATGTCGTTCCCAATGTTCTCCCTTCCGAAATCCGGCATGCCATTTCGTCAGTAAAGAAATGAACAGCACTGGCACAGACAAGGTCAGACCTGAACACCTGAAGAACCTGCCATCAGTACTAATCAATACGCTGGCTCAGCTCTTCACACGCTACCTGTCTGAATGCAAGGTTCCATCCCAATGGAAAACCAGCAGGACTATACTACTGTACAAGAATGGAGACATCCGCAACATTGGCAACTATTGCCCAATCTGCCTATTGTCTGTCACCTACAAGCTTTTCACTCGAGTCATCCTGAATAGGATTGGCAGAACACTAGATGAAGGACAACCATGTGAGCAAGCTGGGTTCTGCAAAGGATTCAGCACCATCAACCATATCCACACGATAACAAAGCTCATTGAGGTTTCTTGGGAGTTCAAGATGCTGCTCTGTCTAACTTTCATTGATTTAAAGAAGGCCTTTAATTCTGTTGAGACAGAAGAGGTCAGTGAAGTCCTAGCCAATCAGGGCATTCAAACTCAATACATCAGGATCCTCCATGAGCTGTATTACAGATTCACTACAAGGATCTCACCATTCTACAGGGAGGTGATCATTGACGTCAATAGAGGGGTTTGGCAGGGTGATACCATTTCACCGAAACTCTTCAGTTCCACCCTTGAGAACATCATGGGACGTCTAGAATGGGAAGGAATGGGAGTGAAGATAGGTGGTCGGCAACTACAACACCTCCACTTTGTTGATGACATTGTTCTAATAACACCAAACATTAGCCAAGTGGCACAAATGCTTGCCGACTTTAACTGTGAGTGCGGTAATGTCGGACTACAGCTGAATCTTACGAAGACAATGTTTATGAGAAACAGTCTCGTTCTTGACGCTCCATTCCCTCTCAACCGAACGACCATCTTCGAATGCAACAGTTATGTGTACCTAGGTTGAGAAGTCAACAGGATAAATGACCTAGCACCTGAGTTGCACAGGAGGAAGAGAGCGGCTTGGAATGCCTTCAAGAGCATCGAAGAAATAGCTAAGAGGACGAAGAACCTCTGGCTCTGGACACATCTCTTTGATTCCACTGTTCTTCCTGCATTAACATATGCCTCAGAAATCTGGGCTCTATGCAAACAGGACGAGAACGCTATTTGGGTCTCCCAAAGAGGAATCGAAAGAGCTATGCTTGGAGTGTCATGTTTCACTCAAATTGGAGAAAGAATCTGGAGTTCTGACCTCCGTTGATGATTAAGAATCAGGGACGCTGTCTCGTTTGCCAAGGCGTCAAAAATCAGATGGGCTGGACACATAAAGAGATTTGCAGATGACTGCTGTACTAGAGCCATTACTGACTGCATTCCAAGGGACGTCAAAAGACCGCATGGCCACCCATCTACCAGATAGTCAGACTTCTTCGTTAAGACCCTGAACGATTGGATTGAGGCTCTTCATGTTCCTAGAATGAACAGATGCCATTGGGCTACACTAGCACGCAACAGGGACAGGTGGAGACATTACTGGCACCCACTCGATCAAATCGATGATTAATGGGAAGTCAAGTGATCAAGTGATATATGTTTTTTTTTTTTACCATAGTTGAAACATTGAATAACACAAAATGTCTCACTTTCCAGTTTGTTTTGTTTTGGGGCCACACCTGGCTATCCTCAGGGCTTTCTCCTGGTCCTGTGCTCAGGAATCACTATTAGTGGGTTGAAGAAACCTTATGTGGTGCTGGGGATCTAACTTATATTGGCTTTATGCAAGGCACTTGCCTTAGCCATTGTGCTATATCTTCAAATGTCTCATTTAAAAAAGAAAAGGTCAAATAACACATACAGGTGAATCAAATGTGACATATGATAGAGAATATAGATGTCATCCTTTTTCCTATTTTTCTACTAGTTTTAAATTTCTCATTAAGATGTTTTGGGGAAAAAAAGATTAATTGTAAGGTCCTTTAAATATCATCTGAAAATCTGAATTTGATTAACAAAAATTTTAAATTCATTTTGAAATATAGTGATGAAGTTATGAGTTTCCACGGAAAATACTTACATTTTTTTAAAAAATGAAAAGAGAGCAATTCACAGTTCACATACCTGACATGCACAGACAATTCTCTCCAAGGATAAGGCATGAAAATAAGCTTAACACATATGTCCATAGTGTGGAATGGAGAACTTACTGCTCTGTGACCCAATTTCTTTATTTTGGGGGTGGTGGGGGTCACACCTGGTGATGCACAGGGGTTACACCTGGCTCATGGACTCAGGAATTACTCCTGGTGGTGCTTGGGGGACCATATGGGATGCTGGGAATCGAACTGGGTGACTGTGTGCAAGGCAAATGCCCTATTCTCTGTGCTATCACTCCAGCCCCAGATCCAGCTTCTTATCTTGGACTCAAGAGTCTCATCAGCCAGGTACATCCAGCTCAAATCTAGAATCTGGATGCTGATTATTGATGTGGACTGACGGGAGTCCTGGAGAAATGGAGCCTTGGAAAGCCATTTTCTTGACATTTCTAAAGGCGGATCAGCGATGCAGAGTGAGCAGATTCAAGATGTCAGACAGACCAGCTCTTTGGGACAGGAGTCCTCTGAAAGAGGCAACCACTGAATTTTGAACTAAATGCAGAAGCAAAGCCTGGAACATACATATGGGAAATCAAGCTGATAGTAAGATGGGAATGACCTCAGACTGCCATCCATTTCCCCATCTCCCACCCTTTCCCATTACAGAACAATTCTCAAATGTTTAAATTTGCTAATTATGAAAGCATCACTATGCATACGTATAGCACAAATTTTATCCCACAAACATACTAATACTAAAAAGTGCTTTCATGCACCAACCTTTTTGTAAAACAGCAGGGAGATAAATATGCACAATGCTTGCATCCCAGAGGTAGATCTGTTTCATGAGAAAATCAGAAGGAGTAGGTTTTTCAAAATACCTAAGAGAGAAAAACAAAGTAATTATGTCTATTTCAATTTTTCCTCTCCAAAGTTTTCCTTGGATAATTTTGTGTGAACATCTTTCTGGTCCAAGAAGGCATATTGCGTCTACACAAGGCACTGTCCTTTTTTCACATGGTTTTAACTGAAGGCATCTTCAGTAAGAACTTCTACATGACATTCTTTTACCCATTTTATTAATATAAAATGCCAATATAAAAAAGAAAAACAAGCACAGTTTAGTTTTTTTAATATTTTATTTTATCAAGTCACTGTGATCTACAAAGTTATTCATAGTTGGGTTTTAGACCTATTATGTTTCACTGATAATACCAGCACCATCTCCAGCTGCAAACTTGACAGCAATATTTTTAAGTTTGGTCATCAGAGTTTGACTCATTTTCACTGTTGTTGACTCTGATTTGAATATTTAACTATATTATTCCTTTATGCCACTAGTGTACTTGGATCTCCTTGACCCTTTCTCCCTGTTGCTTTCCATCTATTCTTCCCTCCTCAATGTCTTTCCTCCTCTGTCCTTTTTCTCCCTATACTTTAGGCAAGGGTGATCTAGGCATCCTCCTTTGCATGTTCAGCATTCTACATACCACATAATAAGCAGTTTAATATTTAGAAATACAATAGCATGTAATCAATGATAAACTGCAACATAGAGATGTTTTCTTATTACATCTGTAGGTATAAGAAAGTATAGTGAATGAGACAACGAAAATGGACAGATGAAGAAAGGCTACAGAAGTAGTTAAAATAAGAAAATCATCAGATCCAAAATCTTCATGGTATGTGACTAAAGGAGTAACTTTAAAAAGATTCCTTTTAAAGAAAATACCGACAGTCCAGATACTTAATGTTTTATGTCATATGGTAAAATAAAAGGAGTTAAGCCAATAAGCATATATTAAACCTATGCTAAGTACTTTGGGTCTACTACCCTGCATAAGCTATGGTAGTTGGCATGCCCAGTAAACAGAAGCAGTGGTCCATTGTCAGACAGCAGATGTAGTGAGACATTTTAATGTACAATTCCAAAAAGTATCACCATATCCATTGTTTAGCTCACTATATAACTTAGTTGCAAGATGTAAGTCGGGTTCTTACAAACTCAACAGTAATGACAAAACTGATTTACTTATTATTTACTTATTTTACACTTCTTTCTTAAAAATTATACTTCTATTTAAGTCCACATTTTGAGAGTTTAAGATTCCTAAATGAGATCAGCTATATTATAGTTAATAATATGACTATATCCTATTCCAGTAAATTTAGCAGTTAATAATTATAGTCTCAGAAACACCAAGTAGTGAATCTTATTCCCTCATGATCATATAAACATAAAATTCCTTTAAATTATGAGCCTCATCTGCTTTTAAAATACAGTTGTATTCATTAATTTTTCATCAGTCATTCTCAATGTCTCCTACTCCAGAGTCATCCCATAACACACCTTACCAGCAACATGACCGGAAAAACACTTGTGATGGGCTTAGAAAATTCTATTCTTATCTGCAGAGATTCCAGGGGATTTTCAGAAAGCCCAAAGAGCTTATGAAAATTCACTTTATCCTGAATCAATATAAATGTTGTTTTATTTCTCATATTTTCCTGTTATCAAAAGGAAAACAAGTTTTAAAAATGTGACATTGGTAACCCCAATGCATTAAAACCAGCTATGCTGCCCAGATGAGGGCTGGTGACCTGCTCTTCTTACCAGGTCAGTTTCCTCCATGAATTCCACGGTCAAAGGATTCCTCAACCGTTGTCTGTGAATGGGCCTTCTGCTAGAGCAGTTGTACTGGGAGAAGGATATGACTTGACCAATCTTGAGAAACAAAAGAGAACCACAAAAAAAGAAAATAATAGTCAATGAATGACGCGGTGAGAGAAACAGGAAACCAAAGTCTAGTGATGTTGCCGCTACAATAATACACAACTACAGACCTGACAGTGAAGCATAATAGCTAGTTTTACTCCTTAGAACAGTAAGATTGAGGGCAGTATTAGTATACTGCTTCATTTCTCTTAGTTATAAACAGTAACAATGACAAAACTAAGTATTTAAAAAATGTTTACTTAAAAATTTTCATATCAAAAATTGTGTTTATTATAGAAAACCAAGGAAGTAGAGAAAAGTATACAAAACAATAAAGAACTTGTCTATAAATCATACCATTGCTCAGAGAAGTCATATGTAGGAATATCATGTTTGAAACATTTGCTATACATTGGGTATATACTCAGTAGTCAATTCATTTTTGTTATATAAAATCTTCCAAAGTCACTGAAATTTGACAATTTTAGTAGGCTGTTTATGGATTATGAAAACTTAATTAAATAACAGTGCACTGTATCCTTCAGTTGAAGATTTATAACATCCTATTTGAGCTAACATAAATAATATCACAGGAAATTAATAAACAAAACAAACAGCTCAATTCCACACTTCCGCCCAGGTGAGATCAAAGTTTCAGCGGGCAGCTTGCTTACTGAACAGTCCAGACCCAACTCGCATGAATTCTTCCTTCATCCACATGAACCTGTTGCAGAATGAATCCAATTCAACAGGCCCCTCTTGCTCTCAGAATTATACACTAGATGAGCCCCTAGTTTTCCCCAAAGCCCTCTCACTGGATGCTCATGCAACTGCACTAAATTTAGTGCAGTTTAACATGTGACTTCAAGGAATACTCTGTCCTCCTTGCTTACACATTCACACCTACTCACTGGTACTCACTGTGGTCCTAGTCCTCTTCAGTCATTAGCATTTAGAACTTGACTGCCTCTTTGGTATTGAGAAGAAATCAGTACAAATAAGCAGTGACACAAAGTATTAATGCAGACATAGCAATAGTCCAACATTATAAAGAGCAAACCAGATAACTACAAAGACCCTCTAGAATTATAAACTCCACCCTTAGTATTCAAAAGTATGAGTAATAATGAATAAACAAAAAATAAACATAGAAAAAACAAAAAAATGAAGAAATACAGCTGCTTCTACAGAAAGGGATGGAAATCCAAGTAAGTTATCAAATAGAATATTCAACACTGCCTGAGGGTGGTCTGAGAGCAGCAGTCTTATTCATGATAAATGATACGGTAAAAAGCATTGAATGAGATATTCATGCAGAGTCAAGATACATTGAGAGAAAATTAAAGAATTCATTGAAATGGATAAAAGAAACTAAAGAATATAGAAACAGGTATTTTTCATGAAAGAGACTCCAGAACAAATCAGTGACCATGAGAAAAAATATGAGATATCAAGAAAAAAATGAAGACGTAGAAAAAATGTTTAATGAATAAAATTTAAGGCATTTAGTGAATAACAGCAAGAGGAACAACCTCTATGGGAAAAATAGAGAAAGGGGAAGAAATGCTGATTAAAGAGATAATAGTTATGAGCTCCCTAACTCTAAGACAAAGAGCTATGCATATATCCAGGAAGTTCAAAAAGTTTCAAATAAAATAAACTGTAAATAAAATATGAATAAAATAAAAATAAATAAAATAAATAAATAAAAGTAAATAAAATAAAATATAGAAATACCAAGATACTTATCAAAATTACAAGAACCAAATGAAGTGGCATACTACTCAAGGCAGCAGGAGAGAATAAAAACCTCAAATATTAGGAAAATAGCATAAAATTTACCACATATTTCTCATATGAAACTCTACAGTCAAGAAAAAAAATGGATAGGTTTGGAAGACAGTTTTTACATTCCTCAAAAAACTAGTAATTCCTCCCATTTTCTTTTTCCCAAGAATTGCTTTAGCTATTCGTGGGGGCTTCTTGTTCCATATAAATTTCAGGAGTGTTTGCTCCATTTCTTTGAAGAATTTCATGGGTATCCTTATAGGGATTGCATTGAATTTATACAATGCTTTCGGTAGTATTGCCATTTTGACAATGTTAAGTCTCCCGACCCATGAGCAGGGGATATCTTTCCATTTCCTCATGTCCTCTTTTATTTCCTGAAGTAGCGTTTTGTAGTTTTCTGAGTTGAATACACTGACATCTCCCTTCAATCATATGATCATCTAATCTTTGATAAAGGTGCAAGAAATGTGAAGTGGAGTAAGGAAAGCCTCTTTAACAAATTGTGCTGGCATCACTGGATGGCTACATGCAAAAAAATGGGCTCAGAACTCTGCCTAACACCATGTACAAAAGTAAGATCAAAATGGATTAAAGACCTCAACATCAGACCAGAAACCATAAGGTACATTGAAGACAAAGTTGGCAAAACCCTCCATGACATTGAGGCTAATGGTACTTTCAAAGATGCCATGCCACTGGCCGAGCAAGTAAAAACAGAGATAGATAAATGGGACTATCTTAAACTAAGAAGCTTCTGCACCTCCAAAGAAACAGTGACCAAAATACAAAGACAGTCTACAGAATGGGAAAGGATATTCACCGAATACACATCTGACAAGGGGTTGATATCCAGGATATACAAATTACTGGTTGAACTCCACAAGAAGAAAACATCCAACCCCATCCAAAAATGGGGCAATGAAATGAACAGAAACTTTCTCAAAGAAGAAATCCAAATGGCAAAAAAGCACATGAGAAAATGCTCTACATCATTAATCATCAGGGGGATGCAGATCAAAACCACAATGAGATACCATCTCACACCTCAGAGACTGGTCCACATTCAAATGAACAAAAGCAACCGATGCTGGCATGGATGTGGCAAGAAAGGGACACTCCTTCACTGTTGGTGGGAATGCCGACTAGTTCAGCCCTTCTGGAAAACAGTATGGACGTTTCTCAAAATATTAGAAATTGAGCTCCCATTTGACCCCCTGGGAATATACCCCAGAGAGGCAAAAATGTGTAGTCGAAGTGACATCTGCACTTGTTTGTTCATTGCAGCACTCTTTACAATAGCCAGAAACTGGAAGAAACCTGAGTGCCCAAGAACAGATGACTGGTTAAAGAAACTTTGGTACATCTACACAATGGAGTACTATGTAGCTGTTAGAAAAGATGAAGTCATGAAATTTACATACAAGTGGTACAACATGGAAAGTATCATGCTAAGAGAAATGAGTCAGAAAGAGAGGGATAGACATAGAAAGATTGCATTCATCTGGGGGATATAAAGCAACAAAATATGAGATTAATACCCAAGAATAGCTGAGATCAACACCAGGAGGATTACTCCATAGCTTAGAGGCCAGCCGGGTATTCTAGGGGAAAGGGCAGTTCATATAGAGAAGGGAGCACCAAATAAAGGGTGTTTGGAGGATCTTCCTAGGAGGGGAAATGCATGTTGAAAGTAGACTATGGACTGAACATGTTTGCCACTCAATGCCTCTTTTGCAGACCACAACACCTAAAAGGAGAGAGAGAACAGAGGGGAATGTCCTGCCACAGAGGCAGGGTGGGAGGGAGGGTGGGGGGGATATTATCCATGGTGGTGGAAAATGGGCACTGGTGGAGGGATGGGTATTTGATCATTGTGTGACCGAAACCCAAGCACAAAGATTTGTAAATCTACAACTGTACCTCATGGTGCTTCACTAATAAAATTAAAAAAAAAAATAAAAAAAAACTAGCAATTGAGCTTCCATATGACCCAACAATTTCACTCTTGGGAATATACCTCATGGGTCCAAAGACAAAAATCAGAAAAGACATCTGTACTCCTCTGTTTATTGCAGTACTATACAGGCTAGCTAAAATATGGAAACAATTCAAACATCTATGAACAGAAAACTGGATAAAGCAACTAGGAGACATATACACAATAGGATAATATGCAGCCTTAAGAAAAGATCACATCCTGCAACTTTCAACAGTGGAGATGGCTCTGAAGAGTATCATGTTGAGTGAAATCAGTCAGAGGGAGAGGTACAGACTCAGACTGATTTCTCTCATGTAGAATATAATGAAACCTTGTAAGGGAACATCAAATACTCAATGGCAATAGAAATGAAGAGCAGGATAACTGGGTTATAAGAAGAAGATTGGCACTGGGGCAGGGGTGTGCGGAAGTTCGGGAAGGGAATACTAGGACAAGGGGGGAAGGGGAAAAAGCCAGAAGCAGGTTTTTGCTGGGGGTGGGGTGGGGTGGGAAGGAAACTGAGAACATTGGTGGAAGGTAGTGGGTACTGGTGAAGGGACTGTTGTTGGAACAATACACACCTAAAACTCAATCTTAAATATCTTTGTTACTTTGTAATTCATGGCAATTCAATAAGAAAAAGAAAAAAAATAACTTTCAACTACACAACTTAGAGCTGCTACAATAAACTGTGTTTTACTTACCAGAAAAAGAAGAGAATTGAATAATGCACTAAAAGTGCTAAATTAAATAAAATTTCAATGAAGGACAGACTGTACCCACACTCTACAGCCTCTGGTATATAAATAGCCAGTCTTTCTAGCTTCATGACTAATCTTTGAAGAGATGAAAAGCCAATGAAACTCTCAGGTACACCAGTCTTTGGGCTGAAAACTCTGTGTCTTCCCCACTGACTGGGTACAGACAGCCTTCCCCCAGCCCCTAATACTGCCAGAAGCACCAGCAGCGACACCCACAGCCTTCACTCTCTGGCATATAAATGGCCCAGCATCATAGCTCCCTGCCTATCTCAGAGATACTGAGGCTAGGAGCACAACAAATTAGAGAGGAAAGAAGCATAGGAATCAACTAAGTAAAATAAGTGAAAATAATAACTAGAAAGCTCGACTAGCAATAAACAACTCAGTAAGTCCTCAGACAATGACTTTAATTTAAACACCATTGTGAGATATAAGAATTTTCACATTTTCTTTTAATAAACTATTTTTTGATAATTACA